TCATTATTCCTACATATGTATTTTTTATTTAGTTTTAATAGGGAAGTTTGTTGAAAGGTTTTATTTTCATTTATTTAACATTAAAATAGAGAAGGTGGTCCGCAGAAAAAGCTTGCTTTTTAAGGGGTACTTAAACAAAGAGAGTTAAAGAACCGCTCTCTAAATCATCCTAAAATTTCATCAATTTCAGAAGTGTCCATCGGGGTCAAATTCACCCCTAAAGTCCCATCCGCAGTTTATAAGAATGATTTTTTTTCTCGAAAACCGTTAAAGAACTGCGTTCTATTATGTGGTAGAATTTGGTTTAATTCGAAGGTGCGAATAATAAGGACGAAAACATCCCTTTTTCCCGGGTGGGGTTGAAAAATTTTTTTTTACCAAATAACTCTCATTTGGTAAGCTGTTTTTGAGGGTAAGAGTGACCATGTCGTTGAAGTTAGCAACGGATTCAGAAACGAAATTCACATTTTTACAGCGGACCAAACAAATAGTGTACTCTATCTATAATTTCGTATTTATTAGTGATAACAACCAAAAAAACATCAAAATTAGCATTAAAGAGAGTAAAATAGATAACCCCTCTAAAACTTTCAAGTAAAATTCATTATTATTAAATAAAAATCACCCTTTCATTATGTGAAAAACTCCAATTTGCATTGAAAAAGCTTGATGATCCATTAAGTCAACCCCAAATATCAAAATCACTATTTCGAATAACATATCTAAGCACCACCCGGAAATTCAGGGGATAAGGGGTCGAAATCACCCCCGAAATACGTAAAAAATTCATAACTTTCTTGAAAAATTTTGTGACACCACCAAACTCAGTCCAAAGATCGAAAATAAGGTTTCGNTGAGTTTGGTGGTGTCACAAAATTTGTCAAGAAAGTTATGAATTTTTTACGTATTTCGGGGGTGATTTCGACCCCTTATCCCCTGAATTTCGGCGAATCTCGCGGATATGTTATTCGAAACCTTATTTTCGATCTTTGGACTGAGTTTGGTGGTGTCACAAAATTTGTCAAGAAAGTTATGAATTTTTTACGTATTTCGGGGGTGATTTCGACCCCTTATCCCCTGAATTTCGGCGAATCTCGCGGATATGTTATTCGAAACCTTATTTTCGATCTTTGGACTGAGTTTGGTGGTGTCACAAAATTTGTCAAGAAAGTTATGAATTTTTTACGTATTTCGGGGGTGATTTCGACCCCTTATCCCCTGAATTTCGGCGAATCTCGCGGATATGTTATTCGAAACCTTATTTTCGATCTTTGGACTGAGTTTGGTGGTGTCACAAAATTTGTCAAGAAAGTTATGAATTTTTTACGTATTTCGGGGGTGATTTCGACCCCTTATCCCCTGAATTTCGGCGAATCTCGCGGATATGTTATTCGAAACCTTATTTTCGATCTTTGGACTGAGTTTGGTGGTGTCACAAAATTTGTCAAGAAAGTTATGAATTTTTTACGTATTTCGGGGGTGATTTCGACCCCTTATCCCCTGAATTTCGGCGAATCTCGCGGATATGTTATTCGAAACCTTATTTTCGATCTTTGGACTGAGTTTGGTGGTGTCACAAAATTTGTCAAGAAAGTTATGAATTTTTTACGTATTTCGGGGGTGATTTCGACCCCTTATCCCCTGAATTTCGGCGAATCTCGCGGATATGTTATTCGAAACCTTATTTTCGATCTTTGGACTGAGTTTGGTGGTGTCACAAAATTTGTCAAGAAAGTTATGAATTTTTTACGTATTTCGGGGGTGATTTCGACCCCTTATCCCCTGAATTTCGGCGAATCTCGCGGATATGTTATTCGAAACCTTATTTTCGATCTTTGGACTGAGTTTGGTGGTGTCACAAAATTTGTCAAGAAAGTTATGAATTTTTTACGTATTTCGGGGGTGATTTCGACCCCTTATCCCCTGAATTTCGGCGAATCTCGCGGATATGTTATTCGAAACCTTATTTTCGATCTTTGGACTGAGTTTGGTGGTGTCACAAAATTTGTCAAGAAAGTTATGAATTTTTTACGTATTTCGGGGGTGATTTCGACCCCTTATCCCCTGAATTTCGGCGAATCTCGCGGATATGTTATTCGAAACCTTATTTTCGATCTTTGGACTGAGTTTGGTGGTGTCACAAAATTTGTCAAGAAAGTTATGAATTTTTTACGTATTTCGGGGGTGATTTCGACCCCTTATCCCCTGAATTTCGGCGAATCTCGCGGATATGTTATTCGAAACCTTATTTTCGATCTTTGGACTGAGTTTGGTGGTGTCACAAAATTTGTCAAGAAAGTTATGAATTTTTTACGTATTTCGGGGGTGATTTCGACCCCTTATCCCCTGAATTTCGGCGAATCTCGCGGATATGTTATTCGAAACCTTATTTTCGATCTTTGGACTGAGTTTGGTGGTGTCACAAAATTTGTCAAGAAAGTTATGAATTTTTTACGTATTTCGGGGGTGATTTCGACCCCTTATCCCCTGAATTTCGGCGAATCTCGCGGATATGTTATTCGAAACCTTATTTTCGATCTTTGGACTGAGTTTGGTGGTGTCACAAAATTTGTCAAGAAAGTTATGAATTTTTTACGTATTTCGGGGGTGATTTCGACCCCTTATCCCCTGAATTTCGGCGAATCTCGCGGATATGTTATTCGAAACCTTATTTTCGATCTTTGGACTGAGTTTGGTGGTGTCACAAAATTTGTCAAGAAAGTTATGAATTTTTTACGTATTTCGGGGGTGATTTCGACCCCTTATCCCCTGAATTTCGGCGAATCTCGCGGATATGTTATTCGAAACCTTATTTTCGATCTTTGGACTGAGTTTGGTGGTGTCACAAAATTTGTCAAGAAAGTTATGAATTTTTTACGTATTTCGGGGGTGATTTCGACCCCTTATCCCCTGAATTTCGGCGAATCTCGCGGATATGTTATTCGAAACCTTATTTTCGATCTTTGGACTGAGTTTGGTGGTGTCACAAAATTTGTCAAGAAAGTTATGAATTTTTTACGTATTTCGGGGGTGATTTCGACCCCTTATCCCCTGAATTTCGGCGAATCTCGCGGATATGTTATTCGAAACCTTATTTTCGATCTTTGGACTGAGTTTGGTGGTGTCACAAAATTTGTCAAGAAAGTTATGAATTTTTTACGTATTTCGGGGGTGATTTCGACCCCTTATCCCCTGAATTTCGGCGAATCTCGCGGATATGTTATTCGAAACCTTATTTTCGATCTTTGGACTGAGTTTGGTGGTGTCACAAAATTTGTCAAGAAAGTTATGAATTTTTTACGTATTTCGGGGGTGATTTCGACCCCTTATCCCCTGAATTTCGGCGAATCTCGCGGATATGTTATTCGAAACCTTATTTTCGATCTTTGGACTGAGTTTGGTGGTGTCACAAAATTTGTCAAGAAAGTTATGAATTTTTTACGTATTTCGGGGGTGATTTCGACCCCTTATCCCCTGAATTTCGGCGAATCTCGCGGATATGTTATTCGAAACCTTATTTTCGATCTTTGGACTGAGTTTGGTGGTGTCACAAAATTTGTCAAGAAAGTTATGAATTTTTTACGTATTTCGGGGGTGATTTCGACCCCTTATCCCCTGAATTTCCGCGAATCTCGCGGATATGTTATTCGAAACCTTATTTTCGATCTTTGGACTGAGTTTGGTGGTGTCACAAAATTTTTCAAGAAAGTTATGAATTTTTTACGTATTTCGGGGGTGATTTCGACCCCTTATCCCCTGAATTTCCGGGTGGTGCTTAGATATGTTATTCGAAATAGTGATTTTGATATTTGGGGTTGACTTAATGGATCATCAAGCTTTTTCAATGCAAATTGGAGTTTTTCACATAATGAAAGGGTGATTTTTATTTAATAATAATGAATTTTACTTGAAAGTTTTAGAGGGGTTATCTATTTTACTCTCTTTAATGCTAATTTTGATGTTTTTTTGGTTATTATCACTAATAAATACGAAATTATAGATAGAGTACACTATTTGTTTGGTCCGCTGTAAAAATGTGAATTTCGTTTCTGAATCTGTTGCTAACTTCAACGACATAGAGTGACCTGTGTGAAATTTGGTGACCCAAATTGTATTGGTTATGGAATTATTAATGTTTTAAGTTTATGTCTAGGATTTATTGATAACTTCACACCAGTAGTTAGTCCTAATGTTGCGTTAACGCAACGTTCAAAAAATCTAGCAGAATGTATTATGCTTTTTTATATTTTAAAGATTGTTTCTAAAGACCTATATTTAAAAAAGACGCTTATTGACAAAATTATTTCTATCACTGGTCCTTAATGGGTTAACTTACTAAACATTAACATTAACAACTCACCATCCATACGTAATAATAACATCCCCATTACATATTTTTTCTTGCGTGGTCAAACTAATCGCCTGTCCCGCAGTTTCAATTTCATCTTTAACATACATTTCAATAAACTTTATTAAATAATCCTTCTTTTCGTCAATGGAATAAACGTCGTTCGTTTGCATTTCATTTAAAACAGTTTTAAAATGTCTATTAGCATTTGTAATTGAAACGGACACGGGTCGACATTTGTGCAAATAATCCAATTGGAGTTTTAATACGTTTTCGAGACCTCGACAAAATTCCACATTCATTGAAGGCTCGTAATCACGAATTAAATCTTTTAACGCGGCCAAAAAACCTAAACCGCGCGAATTTGAACCACAAATTATTTTTTCGCGATATTTTACACCCAACCGAATAAACGTTGGGTGAACTCCATCTTCAACGCAACAATTTTTTTTTAATTTTTCCTCATCGAGAAAACTTTTAAATCGGAGATGATTGAAAAGATAAACTTGATCTTGATCTAAATCGGTATTAATTTGATTTAATTCGATTTGTTTTGTAGTTGGTTTTTTAGTTGATTCTTTTTTTATATCCTTTTTTATTATATCTTTTTTTGTAATATCTTTGTCAGACTTGTTTTTTTCTTTATTGTCGGATGTCTCATTTTGAGGCTTTTTTGGCGTTTCCTTTAAATTACTTTTAACATTCTTAGCCTCTTCTTTTAATTGTCGTTGTTTTTCTTGTAAAGCTCGCCTCTCGGCTTTTAATTGGGCTTTACTGGGACCTGTTTCATTTTCCGTAACTTTAACTTTTATATTATTCGTGTCTTGGTTAACGTTAATGACATCACCGTTAACATTTTTTTGTGCAACTTTTAATGCTCTTCGCTCTTTTTTTGATAAACCATCCGCTCCAACCTTTTTTTCAGCTACAAGATTAAATTCATTTAACATATTTTTAGAGGTTATATCCAAAATTAAGTGAGGTTATGTTGCGTTACAACAAAATTTCTTCGGATAACTTACGATTTATCTGAGGATTTTTCGATTTTGCTTCATCCATTTGAATCACTTTATGATTTTTTTTCTTCTAAAATGTTTTAATTAATTTTTAAAGCGAATGATGCAATAATTTCAGGGCATGTAAAAGTCAATCGACAAAGAAAATTCACATGCACTCCTATTTGTTCTTTATTGACTTATTGTTGTAGATAAAACACTAAATATGTAGTAATTATTGTTTTAAAACTAATAATTAATTGAGAGAGAGAAAATTAAGAATTTGTTCTAATAGATATTAATAAATTTGGTTTTTGTTAATATAACGCCATCTATTAAAGAATATCAAAAGTATCCAGTCACCTTCAACCAAAATAATCTTTCAAAATTCCTTATAAATCAATCATTTAAATTAATAAATTATTTTTAATCGTTGATGTATGTATTTTTATTATTATAACTAATTATTTGTTCATAAAGATACTTGGAGAATGTTTTTACTTCAGCCTGTCTTTATTCACTTCTGGATGTATGCTTCTTCCATGATTTTCCATGTCTCTCCGTGTGATGTCATTTGTAGTAGAGATATCAGAAAAGTAATTATTCGTTACATGAGTACTCATTACTCTCGTTACTTCACACTTTGATTATTTTTTATCCCTGAGACTTGTTTTCATAATCATAATAAGTTGCTAGTAGAGTGGTTGATATAAAGATGGAGCTACGCTACTAACAATGATGAAATCTATAATGTTATTAGTTATTATTTTTAGGATGTAAATATTTAAACTTTGAATTTATATTTTTTAATGCATTAAATAAAAATAACTTATTTTTAAATCACGTTTTTTTTATTTAATATTTAAACCATATCTAAATTTTTTTAAATTAGATTAACAAAAATGAGGGGTTCCCAGAAATTAAATCTACTGGTAGTAGTGGAGTTATGATGAAAATATTTAAGTTTTCATTTTAAAAATGGGGGTTTCGCCGGAAATTAACATGAACATGAACATTTATTGCCATAAACAATTACAAAAAAGATTTAATAACAAATGAAAACACAATCAATATTATTACATAATTATTAGACAAATCAATTTATCGGGGGTAAATACACAAGAACTTGACTTTTAATCGGATAATTTTATTTTTACAGAAAAGCTTTTGATTGAGAGTTATTTCCAAAGGGTAACAAAGCTTGAGTGAATTAAAAATAAAATTATCCTGATTTAAAATCAAGCTCGAGCGTATTTTAGGGAGATTAATACACGACAATTGCACAATTTATC